ATTAAATACATATAAAATCCTCAAACTTAATTATTGAGTACAAATTTAGACTTATAAGGTTGTGATTTATGATAAATCATGCTCAAAAGATTATCATAAACAAAACATTTTATTCATCTTCTATGGTTTTGTTCACTGTGAGACAGAAGAAACAAAAGTTGCAATATTAAAATCATTGAGACTCTTTTGAAATTTTCTTTTTGAAAATTTTCAGAAGTTCAAACACATAACTTCTTAAGAGGAGGCAGAAAGACTGTAAGAGCCAGGGTTAATGCATGAACATAAGTTTTTTTAATTATTATTTTTATTTTATGTGAATTAGTGTATTGCCTACATGTGTGTAAGTGAACCAATGCATGCAATGCCTGCGGATGTCAGAAGGCATCAGAATCCCTGGAACTGGAGTTATGGATGGTTGTTAGCTCTCATGTGGGTTCTCGGAATTGAACCTGGGTTCTCTGCAAGAGTAATCAGTTCTTTTAATGGATGAGCCATCTCTCCCACCTCTGTTTTACATTTTATAACAGCATATATGAAACATTACAAAAGAAATGTCTATCAAACCATGCTGCCATGATTACCATTTTTAGGATCTGTTAATAGTTTTTCAATCTCAGAATAAAAGGTACTAAAGTTAAATAATTTCTGAGAATGTTGGAGACTCATACAACTTTTGAAGTGTCAGAGTTTGCATTAGCATCTGAAGTTTCTCAAATTTCCTACTATAAAACCTGCTAAACTCAATTTCCTCCTAGGGTTATTGAAACATAGATTGTTCTTATTAGGTATACACACTCACACTTTGTGCTACTACAGTTATGAAATGTAAATTTATTCTAAACTTCAGAGATGTCAGGGAACATTTTGAGCATAAGGAAAATTATGTGGTTGATTTTGCATAAATTTGTACAGTAGAAAATGAAAGGAATGTGGAAAACTGCACCCAGATGAACTGAATGCAGGAGAGGATGCAAAACAGACACTGGCCAGACATCACCACTGACCCCAGCTAACATGGCCCGTGCTATGAGTCTTAGACACACTTGTGGGCTAAGACCCTGCTGTG